TCAATTAGAAATGCATGCAAGGCAATAATACGTACCACACATTTAAAGGGAATGCGCGTACACCCTTCCTCATCAACATATTTTTTGGCACTAAATTTAAAAATTAAGTCTTCGCAGAGAAACACAATTTATCATGGATCACTTAAGTGCTGCCGTATAAAAAAGTGAATTGGTAGTAGCTTCAATCTTTGTTATTAATTTCACATCAAAACGGTATTTAATGCTATTATATCAAAATTGTTTTTGAAATAATGTTTTACACGCTCAAAAAATATATAAGAAAATATAACTCACTAAATAAGAAATATTCAAAACTGTTTGTTTTTATTTAATTAAAAAATTTGCTTCTACAAAAGTTTGTTGCCGAACGTAATAAATTAAAATACTATAAAATTCATATGAAAATAGCAACAAAAATTAATTTACTGAATATATATTACATTATTAAACAAATTAAACTGATTTAAATTAATTGATTCAAATTATTATATATTAATTTATAAATTTATTTATCATATATTACTTGTTACAATATATATTTTGTTTACGTAATGTAATATTATTAACCAAATAAGGAAGCATAAGTTTTTTATATTACTAAAAAGTTAACATATGATTAACAAATAGCAGCAAATTATTATACTGCAACCCCAAAAAGAGAGCAATTTGATGTTATCGTGGTAAGGTCACATGTATTTAATACGTGTGCCGAAATGTTATAAAAAATAAGTTTTCAAAAACAATTTCAAATGCACTCTCACGAAGTGGGCGGAGTTTCCGTTCTTGTAAAGATATTCTTTGGTATAAACATGCAATGGGGCTGACCGGAAATGCAAATGGGATGGGTGCAAGTGTTCAATATTGGACATAATAACAATTTATTATTAATAAAATAATACTAAAATAATAACAATATAAATAAATACATATTTTAATAATAATAAAACTTATTTAAATAAAATCCAATTAATATTGATAATAATAATTAATTATTTCCTCTCTTGCTATAAACGCTTAAGGGACGGGTTCTTGTGCTTTAAAGTCATTATCTTCATTTATTTCTTCGTCTGTCTTTTCTGCGCCATAATAAGCTTACACAAATATTTCGAAAAACAAAATATTTCAATAAAATGCGCATCAGATATAGCAAAGGGGTCTGTGGAATTTCGCAAACATTTTTTTTGCAACGTAAATGATTCCGTGTATCTCTGATATCACCAGAAAAAAATCTCTTATTAAATAGTCTTATATATAATTGATCCACACACCAATGTTATATTAATTTAATTTTAGTTTAAATTTCACAATTTCACAAAAGTATTTAATAGTTTTTTTCTGCAGTATCTGCTTTTAAGTTTCAAATTTAAATTATAATTGCAACAGGTGATATTTGTTTACAAGTTTTGTATTTATTTTGACATTTCAGTGCATTTCAGCATTATCCACATCGCCGGATAAATTTAGCGAAGAGATTGTGTTAGCAGAATCGCACGATCGCTTATTCTCCTAAAATAATCGAATCGCTTATTTAAGAATTTTAGCGAAGAGATTGAAGTTTTAGCGATAGTGATTAGTGGAATTGGCCTGCTGGCATATTTAGTCCAACCTTTTTGAAAACGCTTAACAAATAAGCAGCTAAAAACCCGTCTATTGTGAACGACTTTTGAAAGATTTTCTACGATATTTCCAGTTAATTGTCAACGAATGATTTCGTTAATTATTCGTATTTTGTCATCATTGTTTGTAACAAATACGTTACTTTTTCTATTTATTATTTCACTATTAAAAGTCATAAAAATTTATATTTTATTCACAATCATGCAAAAAAAAATATTTTTACCAATAATTGCAAAGAATTATTAATAATTTTTGAAATTTTAACTTTAAATTTTATTACGTGTTTTGCACATATAAGCGCATATAAATCGGCATTTTTTCCAGAGTTGCAATCGAAAGTAGTGCTTATTTTATTTATTCTTCTGCCACAAGTTAACAAAAGAAAAGGCCTAATAAAAACTCAAAATATAAATAATAATTAATTACTAAATAAAATGGTGTTTATTAATATATTTCATGACATAGTTGTTACTACAAAGCGCGTATTCCTATCCTCTATTTCCAATTTTGCTATTCTGAATCACATGGGAATGGGAGTTTTTCCCTTTTCCCAATTTTGCACAAAATCTTACTCAAGCAAATTGTTTGGGAGACAAGTTAAAAATGTATTAAAAATAGTTTAATTTAATATGTAAGTAACTTATAATGATCACATTTTTAAACATATTACAATAAAATTATGAGCTTCACATTTGATATGACCCGAGTTTGATTCTTGGTACTTGCAGTCTTAAAAATAATTATTTACGAATAATTAAATACAAGAATTATTTCCACGACTACTGATGATGGGTATATGGCAATACTCGTCAATCAAAAAATTCTGTTATTAAAATAATATCAAAAATAAAATTTTTGTTGTTGTAGTTCACTACTGTTCGAAAAAACCTCTTTATAAAATTATTATTATAATAAAATTATTATTATAATGAAATTATTATAAAAAATTTAATATTTTCTAATTTTTATTTTCTTATTTCATCGACACGGGTTGATTAGTTTTTCGAATTTGTTTTAATAAAATAATTATAATAAATTTAATATAACTAAATTTTTATTTAATGTATTTTATTAAAATTACTAGGTGACCCCTCGAACTTCGTACCGCGTAACAATCAATAAATGTTATATTAAATTATAGGTAAACTAAATTTAGAAATTTATTAACGTAATAAAATAAATATAAAAAATTTATTGTATTCAATAGTTTATTAGGATATTGATATATAATTAATTATTTTAAAGGTCTGTCAGCAAGAACTTATGGGTTGCACTCCGATTGATTCTCTTCAATAAAGAACCTTGTGATATACGATACTTTTTGTTTTTTTATCATGCGCAAGAACAAATAAAGCAGATGGTTTGCCTACACGTGAACACGCCACGTACAATTGACCATGTGAAAAACATGCATTTTCTAGATTCAGATCACAAACACTAAAGGATTGGCCTTGTGATTTATTTATAGTCATAGCGAATGCAAGCCGAATAGGAAATTGAATTCGTTTAAACTCAAAGGGCATATCGATTGAGATCATTGGAATCCTCGGAATGAGAACTTCATCACTTTTGAATTTTCCTTTGAGTATCATTGGGTGAATCACATTGGCCATCAGTTTTGTTATCACTAATCGCGTTCCATTGCATAGTTTTGGTTGGTTTAGATTTCGAAGCATAATGACTACCGAACCAATCTTTAATTGTAAATTGTGCGGTGGTAAGCCAGGCACATCCAAGGAGTTCAAAAATTCAGTTGGATAGTTGGTAGCTTCTTCTTCGTTTGTTACACAGTCAATAGATTTGAAGGTATGCAGAGTACCAACGATTTGATTTTGAATTACAAAGTTTAAGTCATTCACATCTTTGTTCTTAGCTGCCAAAATTGCTCGCTCACTCAACCATTTTTTGTTTTTATGATTATCAATGATGTTCGGAAATACTTCATTGATGATGAGACGAAATTGCAAAAATTTAAAGGAAATGCAATTAATCCGCTTGATTCTTCAACAGCCACACGGCCATTACCGATTAACAGCAATTGCTTGGAGAACTCTTCAGCAGATGTATCGTTGACCAATGCAACTCTCATGTTTGTTACCAGCTGAAGTTTCTTCACATAGCGCCAAAGATTTGATGATTTAAGGCAAGCATTTATTTCGTCGGCAGCAGTCTATTTTGGAATGACTGGGAGTGTTTGGCGAAAATCACCAGACAGTAAAATCATTGCGCCTCCAAAACATCTCGAGTCATTGCGATGATCTTTCAATGTTCTGTCAAGTGCTTCTAATGCGCGTTTGTGCGCCATTGTGCATTCGTCCCAGATGATGATTTTAGATGCTACTAAAACTTTAGCCATTGCAGAATGCTTCGCAATATTACATATCGGTTGCTCGGTAGTTTGAAGGTTTAACGGCAATTTTAACGCTGAATAAGCCGTACGGCATCCTTCTAACAATGTAGCCGCTATTCCAGAAGCAACTGGTACCGCAATGTCGGATCTCTCACGAACAGTGGCCAAAATTAATGACATGAGGAATGTTTTACCAGTCCCACCGGGGGCGTCCAGGAAAAAAAGCCACCATTTTCTTCATCAATCGCTTTCATTAATGTTAAACTTCCTTCTGTTGCGGATTCAATAGAGGTACATTAGTTTGAACTGATTGGTCTAATTCATGTCGATCATATTCACGTTCACGTTCCGATTCTCTATTAAATGCATTATTTATTCCACGATCAGGAGCTGGCATTCCTAATCTGACTAACAAACTACCGCACGTATGGTAACACATGTCTTCGATCAAGAGCATAGCCTGATTATGCATTTCATCATTCACCTCAAGATCGGGATTTCTTGAACCGACACGAATTCTATGTAAAAAGTCTTCTGACATGTTATCCTTATATTTGTTCCACAGGTCACGTGGATTTGATGGTATATTGATAACAATATTTATTTATTATATTTGAATTTATTATATTTGAAATTTGAAATATTTAAAATATTTGAAAAAAAAATTTAAAAAGAAATCAATATCACTCAAACTGTCGAACTGTCAACAGTTTGAAACAGCATTTACAAATTTATTATTTTTGCTAAAATTAGTGGATTTTTCCAATATTTTATAATGTATTCTGCTATTCGGAGCGGAGACGATTCTAACAAATCAAAGATAATTAAAATCGGTGCAACCGTTCTTGAGTTATGAGTGGTCTAACTAACACGACTTTCTTTTATGTACATAGATTATTTTAAAAAAAGTATTATAACAAAATTAGTATTGTAATCGATTATGTAAACACCGAAATATTATTTTATTTACAATTTATTTTATTATATCTATTCGTTTACAATCAATTTGATATTCATTTTATTTTATCGACGTGCAACGTGTTTCACATTTGTATGTTTTTTAGATCTGTTTTTCCTCTGAATTGTCATTCCTATCAACTGTCATTCATATCAACTGTCATTCATATCAACTGTCATGCTGCCTTGCAGGGCTCCATTCAGCTCAGTGTTGCTTTTTTTGTTATATTCCGCCCTCCCGTTAATCTTCGTAAAATTCACTAATCTAGCTAGCTTGGTGGCTGGATGAGTTGTAGTGGGACAAGACAACCCAGCGCATCTCATGGCGACGACCAATAGTAACGTGTAATGGTTCAAACAGGTCAACACCTGTGTAAGAGAATGGTCGTGCATATGGCGATATACGGTCGACTGGGAGCTTACCCATTAACGGTGGCACTGGCTTGGCGGCTTTAAGGCGGCATTCTATACAATTGCGTTGGACTGATTTCAAAAGTAGCTTGGCACCAATTATCCAGAACTTTTGGCGTACGGTGTTGATAATTGTAGCTTGATTTTGATGTTTTTAGGCAACATGATAGCGTTTGATTATTACTTCGGAGACGACATGACGCTGGGGCAATATAATAGAGCGTCGAGCTTCAAGAGGCAGATATATGGCTTCATTAGCCGATCACTGGTACGAATAATTTCTTCGTTGTCTACGTATGGCGTTAATTTATATGCCTTGAATTTTTTGGAAAGAGGTTGTTAAAGCTTGAGTAGTCTCTTCTCCTCCGAAAAACAATCCTCCCGTAGCATTATAAATTTTTCGGCTTCATTGATTTTACTAGGTAATAACGGTGGCAATGTCTGCAAACTATCACACTTTTCTGTAAATAGTGGCTATTTTGTTCTTGACGTAAAAAGTTTGGCCCTTTTAACTAAATGTTGTCCTTGTTTCTTTTAGGTACCTCTTTCGCTCTTGTTGCAGCATCAGAAGGGTTCATCTTAGTTGGCATCCATCTCCACTGGTCTTCTTTCGTTGAGCTCAATATTTCAGCTATACGATGCCCAACAAAGGGTTTGAATCGGCAATTTCTTGAATTTACCCAACAAAGAACTGTTTTGAAATCAGTTCAAAATACTACACGGCTTATGTTTATTTCATGTCTGTCTATCACCAGCGTTGATAATCGAGGAGCCAAGACTGCAGCCTGCAGTTCCAACCTTGGCATGGATAGGAGTTTCTTAGACGCTGTGCGAGTCTTACCACAGACAAAAACTACATCGACTGCATATTGATGTTTAATTCGCAGATACACGGTTGCAACAAATGCAAGTTGACTGGCATCCATAAATGTGTGGAGTTGGACCTCTTTGGCAATGTTGAGATGTGACGAGGAGCATCTTGGTACAAAGAAATTGCCTATTCTGGCAAATTCGTCCCACCACAGAATCCATTTTTGAAATAACGTAGGTGGTAACAAGTCGTCCCAATTTAATTTGGTTTTCCAGGTTTCTTGGAATAATACTTTGGCAACAAGTAAAAAATTCGCTAAAATGCCGTATGGATCAAATATAGCCATTACAATTCCTAAAAGTTCTCGCTTTGTTGGAACCCTTTTACCCTCGATAACTTCTTTAGCTATGCGATGAAATTTTGTTAAGAATTGAAACAAATCACTTGTCACGTTCCAATACATTTCCAAGATTTTCTCGGTTTGGCTCTGCCGATTCAAACAGATGGCCTCTACACTTTCACCTACATTCATGACGATCTGTACATTTAACGAATTTGATGAAAAATCACGAAGTTCAAAGCCGACGTTTGCGTTAATTTGCACCACTTGCAGACAAATTTGTAGAGCGTGCTCTTCTGTATCGAAACTGGCAACGTAATCGTCTACGTAAAAGTTCTCATGGATGGCAGATACAGCTTTCGGATATTGACTGCGATAACTTTCGGCATTATGGTTCTTAACAAATTCAACGCAGGGCGAACATACTGCTCCGAAGATCATAGATGTTGTGTAGGCCTGTGTGAATGAACACATTAGTATTGAAGGGAAATTATGTAAGAACAGAGATTTTACCTGGGTTGTCCCACGCTGTCCTAACCAATAGAGTATCTGTGTAGTTAAATTATTTTAGGAAAGAGTTTTGGTTCTATTTTTACTGCTAGGTTTATTTAGTAATATAGTTTAAAAATTTAAAAATTTACGAGTTGAGCGGCGTTTGCTTTTATTGTGATGATTTACTGGTGAAGCGTTGTCGTTCAGTTTTTCTGACTTCAGAGGCGAACACAATATATCCTCCAAGTCATTTCCAACTTTGGATTGAATGTTTCATAAACATCTTTCTACATTGGTCTTATTAGTTTTAATTGTATACGTACTAGAGTACTGCACGCGCGCATTTGATTTCAGTTTCAAAGCATTCTATTGTGTTTAGAATGGTAGCATACTCTCACTCTCAACGAACAAATACGAATGTATAGGCATAAAAACAAAATGGAATGGAATAAATATTTGTTTCGTTTGTTTAGAGTACTCTAACTCTAAACATTCTAAAAGTAGTTGAAGTAGTTGGGAGTACTCTAAGCATTTGATTTTCAGTTCATACAAAAATTATGTGTTTTTAAATAGTAAGACACAAATTTATTTATTTAAGTTTTTTTATTAATTAAATATTATTTAAAATGTTGATAATAGTAATTTGTTGATTACATATATAATATGACTTAATATATTAATTAAATATAAAAAAAATTTTGAACAAAAACTTATTTAAAAAAATTATAATAAGTTTTTTTACAGTTTTTACAGTTCACAAATTTAATTTAATATGCAAATTAAATGTTGAGCATCGTCTGACTTAATTCCTCTTTTTCAAGATTGTTGTGTAAAACATGATTTGATTGATAGATCTTTGATTAGATGAAATCAATGTTCTTTTTTCTGATATTAAGTTCCGAGCAACTGAAAAAACCCTTTCCGAAGATGCACTACTTGCTGGTGTTGCAAATAATTTACAAGAAACTTTGTAAAGTAGGAATTCTGAAGGAATTCTTAAGAAATTTCTAAAAATCTCTCTTGTTATAAATAGATATTTTTACCATATCATGCATAAAATTATTTTCCAGGAAAAGGTAAATATGTGAAGCAATTTATTTTGTTACATCATAAAAAACTATCGACAAAGAAGGAAATTCTGCGCAAACCGTTTTTTTAAGTTAACCTTTTGCATTAGATCTACCTGTTTAAACAACTTTTGCATTGAAAATAATAGAAAATTAAACCTAATTTACGTACTTTGTTCTTGCAATTATTGCAAATCTCTACGCACATCCAACTTTCTTTACTTTTGCGCAGGCAACCAAACGCACACAAAATATATAAAATATTTCTTTGCATAAATAGAATTATTTGAAATACTCTAAAAGTGATTGAAATACTCTAAAATATTTGTTTATTTGATTTTAAAATTCAAAACAAACGATTATAGAGAACAAATCAACCCCCATTCCATTGAAACGAATGCGGCGGAAACGAATTCTATCGGACCGTTTCTGTTATTCGTTCATATTCGCTTTAGAAATAATTTGTAAATATGGTACACATTTGAAAATAAAACGAATGACCGCAAAAACGAATGTTTTGATGCAGCACTTTAATACGTACATGCAATAAAAGTTTTTTTGACACACTTTTTATAATTATCGGTTTTGTTCACATATTTTGTTACATTCTTTGAAATTTGTTTTAAAGAAATTAGCATGTGCATTGCACGCACATGCATAAAAATAATAAGTATTAGGTAAAAGCTGTTTCTTATTTTAACGCCGTTTGTTTTGATTTGCAAGATCGCGGCGAAAGCTCAACACATTCCGAACCTGCAAGTTTTAGTGCTGCCAGTAGCGCAGAACACATAAGTTAGGAGTTTTTATTTATATATTCGGAATGTAGAAAAAGACCAAAACAAAACGTTAGGAGTACTATAGGGGAAGGTTTTGCTAACCCGCTAATATTGGTAATAAAAGTTTAAAAAAAAGGTCAGTTACAAGTATTAGCGGAGGTATAAATTTGGAAGTGGAGATGTAAAACGGCCTTTTTGTTTAAATTTTGAGGTGATCGGAAGAATAAGTTCTAAGCCGCGAAATTTAAATTTACAAAAAGAAAAACTAAGTTTGTTTAACTTGTGAAATTTGCGAGCAATAAAAATAATCTCAAAAAAATATTGTGAACAATTAAAAAACAAAAAAAAATTTTTTTTACATCAATTTTAAGTTATTTTAGTGTTCAGTGATTAAATTACAATGAATTGAATTGAAGCGATTTTAAGATTTTTTTTTTGGTTATTTAAATCATTACTTTTTTTTATCCTTGCTTTTATATTATATTACAAAATAGTCATATTTAGTTTGAATTTTAAGAATTGTTTTTTTTAAATCATTAACTTCTATTTGTCTATTTTGAATTTTTTTTAATTTCTCTTCATCAATAGTCAAACAACATAGAGTTTCTTTGAGTACATCAAATGTTATTCATATATGTTTATTTCCATAAATTCCTTTAATTGTTTTTTTAGCTAGGTACCTATAACACGCGAAGTGACGCCATTTCGGCGAAAGTAATAAGTACCTAGTGTTAAACTTAAAGAAACGTCAAAGAAAAAAAAAGGGAATAATAGAACTAATAAAAAAAAAGATTTAAATAATTTGATGTGTGACAAGAATATCTGATTTTGTTTTGATTCATAAAATTCATGTCAGTAAAAGTTAAATATATATATTTATATGGAGAGTTGATTTTGTTTACAAGATAGTTTTTTTTCACATATGTAAATAAATTGTTTTTTATTTATTATTTTCTTTTATTATTGTATACTGATATTTTTAAGACTCGATAAATGTAAAAACAATTATTAGAAATTATAAAATAATTGGTTATAATTCATTTAGTTGGCTATTATATTTCTTGAGATGTGAGACTTATTTTATTGGGCTAGTAGAGATAGCTGCATTATGAATTAAATACCAGTCAATAGCTCTAAAGGTGTGCTGAGGGTTAGTCTGGCAAGACTAGTAAAAGAGATACAGAGATAGTGAAGAAGAAAGATATGATATTAATGATGCGAAACCTTGGTATGGGATTCAGTAAAACATGCTGACTTCGTAAAAGCGAAGAGATTACTCTCAGTACTACGGCAGCTGCACTCATCATTTCAAAAGGGAGCAATGCCTATTCTGTATGATGAGTATTTCTTTAAGTTCAACACGAGACAGTAGGTTCAACTAATCTAGTAGGTTATATGAGAAGTAATCGAAATGTGGTTTTGAATAGAGAAAGAAGAGAAAAGAGGAAATTTGGATTGTAGATATAGTGTAGAATTTAGGTTATATAAAAGTGTATTACTTAAGAGTTAAGAGTTAATAGTGGTATGATAGGTTTAGGTAGAAGTAAGTCATGACACGATTTTTGTTGTTAGTTGTCAGCAGTAGTATTTAGTCGCCAAAAACCCTACTCCAAAACCGGCGAGCATGCCACCATGTCATGCAGGGCAGTTAATACTACAATAAAACCATTTAGGCTGACACAACACAGACGTCATGACATATTGTTCGATCGGTGCCATTTCGCAACTTCATAAAAATCTTTGGGCATTCTGGTCGGCTGGTCGTATTTTAACCTGAGAAAACATCTCTTTTATGTCTGCAGCAACGGCAATACGACCCTGATGTAGTTGAAAAAGTTTTTCTATTAATGGTTTAGCCTTTTCTGGGCCCTTCAACAATGCTGAGTTGAGAGATTGTTTATCAACTGTGGCGGCGGCATCGAAAACAGTTCCAAATTTGTCGGGCTTATGCGGATTCTGCACAGAAAAATGCGGCGGATACCACAACGGCTTTGTGATATTTTCAATTTCATCTTGTGAGTTTCCTGGCGTAACCTTTGGCTATGTATTTGTTAATTTCGGTCTTATATAGTTCTGCGAATTTGACACTGTTTCTCATTTTAGCTTCAATTCCTTGCAAACGTTTCACCGTCATGGCGTAGCTATCAGGCAATATTGGTGAATTTTTTCTCCATAAAAGGCCAATCTCATAACGATTATTGATACGGCGTGTTGTATCAGACAAGATTTTACGTGCTCTCAAATCATCGGCTGACTCCAGACATAGTGTTGGATTTTCAATTCCAAAATTTTTACACTTAAAATATTCGGAAACAGTACGATCCAGACATTTAAATGATGATTCTGCTCGGGCAAATAACATTAGCGAATGGACGGTAATACTTGAACCGGTTTGACCATACGGAACCCATCCAAGTTTAGTTCGAATAGCCACTGGATCCGATGCACCGGCGGTTACTGATGTAGAAGATGCATTTACGTTGGCACAATTTAGGCACAGCAACATTAAAGGGCGAACATCGTCATAGTCTTCAATCGGCAAACAATTAAGGTGCTCATAATCTGATTTTTCAAATGATTGTGTTGGCAGACTCAGATTGGCAATTACGTAAACGTTTTTAACCTGATATTGTTCGCCTGCTTCACCCTTTATGTTGACATTTACAACTGTTGAATTTTGAGTCACCTTCTCTTCATCATACCACTGCATCGTTAAGTGTTGTTTCTTGCCTTTAAGGCCTAATTGACTCGCAATTTTGGCATCTAGTATAGTGATTGACGACCCTTCATTCACAAGTGCAAAAATCTTCAGTTGTCCGTTTAGACCCATAATTTTTGTCGGAACCAATTTAAAGAGAAAACCGCCACATGTCTTGGCATAACTCAAAACCTGTTGAACTGATACAGGCGCGGGCGGCACTTGTTGGAACTCATGTAGTAATTTATTATGGTTTCTACGGCAACCGCTTACACCGCAGAATCTTTTCATTCGGCACTGTATGATATTGTGTCCTTTCCGTAAACATGAAATATACAAACGAAGCTGCTCCACCGCAGGATCTTTTCATTCGGCACTGTATGACATTGAGTCCTTTCCACAAACATGAAAAACACAAACGAAGCTGCTTTACTTTTACCCAACGTTGCTGAACATGTTTACTCAAAAACGCTTCACATGTAACGATCAGATACGGGCCTGCACACTCAAAACACTTAACTCCCAGCTGATTTTCTTGTTCCATCTCATAGTTTTGTACATACATAACTCTGCGCGTATAATTTTGATTAGCTTGCATTGTAATTTCAGTTACAACACTAAATTGTTTTATTGTGGGATATTCCTTCAGAGTTACAGCGTGACGCGCCCACTCTAATTATTTACTAGGCGGCAATTTGTATACTAGTTGTTCAAGTGTTGCTCACACTTGGCTGATGACAAAAAGGCTACAACATTTCGCACAAGAGAGGATAAGGCAATTAAACTATCAACGTTCCTCTCCACTCTCTCCGTATTAGCAAGTCTAGTCGACCAAAAGGAAATTCGAGTTCTTCCATAACAGCAGGCATATTAGATGTTTATATAGTGACTGAACGACATCCTTGGCTTCATCAATTAGGCATTTCTGTAGGCACATTAAATTATGTTTGTTGGTATACTTAAGCGTTTTGGTGGTGTTCTCAAAACTAACACGAAAAAGTGGCCACTGTTCGGCGTTACCGTTGAATTTTGGCAAATCATAAAGTTGAATGCCTTCGCTTCCCGAACATACGACTTCAGCAGTACACCTTTCGTCTTCATATTCATCTATCTTACCTTTTTCATCTTTATTTTCGTGTGTCACCGACTTATCATTAGCAAGTTGTCCACGCAAATTACTAATGTCTTCTCGATTCAAAACTGTTTCAGCTCGAACTGTATTCACTGTTTGTTATAGAGCATGTATGGCTTTTAACACATCTTGCATTGTTGTCTCCTCTTGACATCTTGACGAAACTGAAGTCTCACATGGTAATTTATTATTTCTGCGACCCATCTTTAATTTACTCACCGCACACACTTTGTCCGCTTTTTTTTCTGGCGTCATACATAAACGAATGTTATTGTAACGGATACAAAACTGTGAAAACATGTAATCGATTATGTAAACACCGAAATATTATTTTATTCACAATTTATTTTGTTATATATATTCGTTTACAATCAATTTGTTATTTTTTTTACTTTATCAGTTTTTCCTCTGAATTATCATTCCTATCAACTGTCATTCATATCAATTGGTTCAAAATAGTTCACTTATTGGGTTGGTAACAATTTTTTTTATTGGCCGATGTGTGTGGCCAGTATACCTATACTGGCCGAGGTGGAGAAAATAGTATTGTTGTTTTGCGTACATTTCGGCCAGTATAGGCCAGCAACTTGCTGTTTTCTTTGCCATACTTACGAGCCACTGAAAATACCTATTGCTTTGAACTGCCCATTCAATGTAAACTTTTGAATGTGGACACTGCATCTTTGTGTTAACGGTTACCAGATTTACAATGATCACTACGTTGTCAGCTTTTTATTTTAATCAAAATTAATTCATCCCAGTACATCAGTAGTATAGAAACCCACAATTTTTTTTTAAATTGCAACTAGCAGTTTATGGGTAGTATTCTTGTTAGAGTTACAGAACTTAATTCTTCTTGCTTCCGTTGTGCTCATCTAATTAGTGATGTCAATTTGGTCTTAAATTGTTATTTCATAAGTTAATGTCTGTTTAGACAATCTACTTCAAGTGAGGACATAATGCATAACGCGTCATAAAAAATTATTATTATTAAAATTATTACTTTTAAAGATTCTCATGCATGTGTAAGAAGTGTAGACTATTTTTGTGTAATGCATTGAAGGAATTTTGTTCCATTGAATGAATCAAAGTAGTAATGTTTGGTGGCATGGATTTCACATGTATATCTCCATCATGAGATTTTTTCATTGGCTGGAGATTGCAAGGAACATTGTCTAGTATAAGCAGATCCTGTTTCTAGAGGTTTTGCATATCCAAGAGTTTTTCACCATATATTAAACAGATGATTTGTGCAGAATTTTTCTAATAAAATAGTGTAACAAAAGTGATAAACAAAATAATCGTTAAATCAATTTGTAAAATTTACTGTAGTAATCCATACTGTCCTAGAATTTGCACGTTGTACATTTAAATTTTTCTATTGTAGAGATCTTGCGTTTCGAAGAAAACCAATGGCAACAGATTCTAATTCTTTTTCCTTTCCTGTTGCGTTGACACAAGTGAACACATTTAGTTCTTACGTTCGACGAGGTACACTATTTTCCCCTGAATACACAAAAGTTTGTTTAGGTAACATTTTTCAATATACACTTGTTCCATCTGCATTAAATAAGACATCCTCGGATTTTTCTTATTTTTTGACAACAAAGTTTCTTTGAATGGTTTTACCAATTGAACACGAAGCCCGTACCTCTTTTTGTTTTGTAGTCAACCTTTAGTAACATTAAATAATCAACCATATTTTCCACGAAGGCACATTCACTTATTGGAACATGTTTTTCGCTATGCATCATAAATCACTGGAAATTTGTTTTCTATTTTAAAATATCTATTTTAAAATATATCTCATTGAAAACTTTGTTTGCTTTTTTACAACATATCCTAACTTTTTAAAATTCCATCTTTTAAATTGTGCATTAAAAGATTTTAAAAAAACCTTTGCCTGTTTTACATTCATTAATATTTTAACTTTATCTTCAATTAATAAACGTTTCCTTTATACCATAGGAACCTAATCAATAATAGTAAATACTTTATTAGGCCTTTTCTTTTGTATGCTTGTCACAAAAGAACAAACAAAATAAGCACTACTTCCGATGGCAATTCTGGACGAAATGAAAATTTTGTTGCGCTTATATATTCAAAACACGTAATAAATTTTAAAGTTAAAATTTCGAAAATGAATAATAATTCTTTGCAATTATTGGTAAGAATGTTTTTTTTTTTTTTGCATGATTGTGAATAAAATATAAACTTGTATGCCTTTTAACAGTTACAAAAAATGATACGAAATACGAATAATTAATGAAATCATTCGTTGACAATTAACTGGACATTTCGTAGATACTTCCAAAAGTATTTCACAATAGACGGATTTTCAGACGGCTAAATAAGCCAGCAGTATTGTTGTTTCATGTTATTTTAAAAATAAGCCGATGTTCTTTTGTGATATGCCTACAAAAGAAAGGACCTAATATTATCATTATAAGTTACTAACATATTAAATTAAACTCTTTATAAACAATTTGCTTGGGAAAGATTTTGTGCAAAATTAGGAAAAAAACTCCCATTCCCGTATGATTCAGAATAAAGAATTTGGGAACAAAACTCCCATTCTCATATGATTCAGAATAGCAGAATTGGGAAAAAAAACTCACATTTCCATGTGATTCAAAATAATAGTGATGCTAATGTTTCGCATAGCGAATATATGCCAGCATGCGTTTTTTGCCTACTAAAACTATACAGAATTTTGATACTTCCAATAAGAGCAAACCTACATGATTTTTTTTTTCTTTGAAATAATTTAAATATTTTAATAGTAAAATTAATTATACTTTTTGGTCTACGTTTTAATAAAAAATAAAGCGACAATTTTCGACATAACAATTAATTTGAAAAAAACGAAACCGCAGATATATCTCTCATTATTCAGATACTCTACTGAAGTTCAAATAATTTTTTCGCCTTTTTGTAAAGACAATTTAAAAACTCCAAGCAAACTGTTAAATAATGCAGGTGTATTTAAAGAAGCTAAATTTTTATATTTTTCTATTTATAAGTTCTCAAACTTATTGTATTTAATGATTAACTGCTGTCCTTCGACAAAGTTCACCACAGCGTAAAGAAAATGTTACATTCAACTTCACAATTTGAAGCATTGAATGACAAATATAAGCATTTATAAAAATTTTATTAAGTTTCATTTTTAATTGTGAAATATAAAATTCGGGTAAGATTATGAAAATTAATTAAACAAAACAGAAAATTATTTTTAAAATGTTTGTTTTTTATTAACATCTATGTATCCTGCATAGTATTTTCCTAGCAGGGGATCGACTTAACGGATAACGGTTTTTTTTTACAAATCTTCATCTTCTTCGGGTAATGCAGTCTCTTGTGCTTCCTGCAAATCCCGCTCGATTTGTAACTGCCAGTCTTTATCCATTTTAATTTCAGGCGGTACCAAAGCTGGCATTGCAACGAGCTCTAAATTAGGATCACCGACCAATTTACGTGCTAACCATAAAAATGGTTTTTCGAAATTATAATTTGATTTAGCAGAGATGTCATAGTACTATAAAAAGCGATAAAAAAATAATAATTAGCTTTAAAATTTAATTTTACAAATGCAAAAAATTTTTACCTGCAAATTTTTTTTTCGATGGAACACAATACTTTTCGATTTAACTTTACGATCTTTAATATCAGCTTTATTACCACATAGCACGATTGGTATATTTTCACAGACGCGTACTAAGTCTCTATGCCAATTTGGAACGTTTTTGTATGTGACGCGTGAGGTTACATCGAACATGATGATTGCGCACTGACCTTGAATATAGTAACCGTCTCGTAATCCCCCAAATTTTTCCTGACCGGCTGTATCCCAAACGTTGAAACGTAATGCACCGCGATTTGTGTGAAAAATCAATGGATGAACCTCCACACCTAACGTTGCAACATATTTTTTCTCAAATTCGCCTGTAACATGGCGCTTTACAAAAGTTGTCTTGCCGGTACCACCATCTCCTACCAAAACACATTTGAAGGTGGGAATATTAGCTTCTTGTGCCATAGTGCCTAAATTCCAATGACTTTTTCTTAACTAAATATAAAATAACATACATTTAGAATTTACAATTATCTTGTTTATTTAATTACATTTTTTACAGAAATTTATTAAAATGAATACATACATAGTGCTGTTCGGATAAAAAATGTATATTCAAAATACATAACAAATTAAAAATACTGAAACATACTCTATTTATCAAAATGAAAGGTTAATAAATTTGAACACACTTTATTTGAATACTGGACAGAAGACAAGTTTCCATATCACATGCAATGAAAAAAAGCAAAGAAATACTCGAATAGTGCAAAATCGACCGACATTTTTATTTAGGACATTTTTTTGTGCCGGTTTGTACCTACACAGATGTTTGTTTGGAATTTAGGAGAGCAAACCAGACGATTAAAATGTTGTTCTTACGATGCTCTCTGAGGACTGAACAAGGCGAAAAGTTGACAGGCAGATGTACTTCCTGTTTTGTCAACACTTTTGAAAAGCAATAGATCGATAATTTTGTTATAATGTGCATAAAACAACTTTATGAAAAGTTACATGATAGATTTTAGAATTTTGTCGGCATTGCTGTGTAAAATATTGTAATATGGTGGGATAATAGTTTCATTTTTAACAAGCTAACTATATAAGTTCCGTCCGTGCGTACTTTGATTTTGATATGAAAATAAATATTTTTTATACAGATTTCTGAGTCACGATATCTCTCCAATAGGAATAAGTGAAATTCCAAAAATAATAGATGATGAAATTAATTAAATTCATATACTAGTGATTTACTATCAACTGTAGAACGCACATCATGCTAGGTTCAGCGTCATTATGTATTTCGCGCCAAATTTTGTATCTATACCTCCCATAAAGCCAATATTCGTTTATTTAAATGTCAATACAATATATAAACTCTATATGTAAAAAATTCTGCAAACACATTTTGCACATATAACGTTTGGCCGGCATAAAACTACTACATACACGTATTAGCAGATTAACTACGAACAGCGATGAAACAATAGTACAAGAAAAAAATGAATTTAAAGAATTTAACCTCAAAGTCTGTTTTTAAGCAAATTGCATTAAAATTTAAAATCCTGACTATAGATTAAATAAAACAAAAATTGCAATCTTGTTTAAAAATTATGAAGTAAAAACCTTATCAAATTCCAATTAAAGTATAAGCGAAAAAAATTTCACAAAAAACACGCGTCTTTAATACATGTTCCAAAACTCTCATTATTAAAACATTAAAATCAATAGTTTTAAGCTCACCTTTTTATCGAGTGATTAAGATTAAATTGCACGCACTGTTGTTACGGTAACTGCAAAAATTTTTTACACAAAAACAAATATCCACCAGAATCTGAAAATATTCTCAAGCACTGTAAACTATCGGATCCAAAGCGTTGCACAAATGCCGCTACTACTCAAGCAGAATTCTGAAAAAGTAGTCGGGAATTGCCGTTTGGAAAAAATTTGATTTTGTTGTAGTGGTAGCACTTATGAGTTAAGTTAGATGTAATTTTTAAAAATAATGTTCATTATAGTCACGAAACAGGGTGAAGGTATATCAAAATGATTAATATTAACAAAATGCAATTTGATTAAAAATTTACAAAAGTAACGAACAAGAAAAATATTGTTTGTACGACATATTTAACCTGGGGGTTGATTCCTCAACTATAAAATAAATTTTGCATATACGCAACTGAAAAATTAATTTCTCACCACAGTCCACACTTGCTGGTAATGTCCTACTCCTCAAGTTCTAGTGAACTTGTCGTGCTAAATGTAAAATCAATACGTCCTGATTGTATTTTTGACAGCCTTCAGAAAAGAAATTTTTATTTACACTCAAATTCATTGACTGACAATAATTAAATAAACAAAATAGCATTCATTATATTAAAAATTTCATATATATTTTCTTCCTATCGTATGAAAATTCTATGTTGATATTCGAATATAAACTTGCTTTTTGATCTTTTTTCATTTTTAAAACTTATGAAAAAATATTAATAGAAAATTATAAATAACCTTGCACACAATTTCCTGTTTTTTTAAAAACTCTAAATTTATGGTGAATAAAATTTGACAAAAAATTTTAAGAGAAAATTTAATATTCATAGTTGGGAAAAGCAAAATCAAAATGTAACAAAATTTTGTTGTCTCTTTAGTTTGCTCAATGGAAGAATAGACTCCAAGTAACATAATATTTAAAATAATTTTTAGAAAGTTGCATATAATTGCATAACAATTGCATATAATTTATAGAAGTTCAATAAAAGCTGACATTTCTCCATATCACCACAATATAACACATGTGTCAATTTTTGAAGCATGAAATCAAATGTTTATAATTATAAGCTTAAAAAACATAAAGAATTTTGTAAGAAAAACAAGAAGAATCAAGCTTTCATTTTTTATTGTGTCCTAGAATATCTTTGAAAGATTTTAAAATTAATTTTAAAAAGTTTTTTGCTCAAATATAAAGTTATTTTAAATGTTAATTTTTTCTTGCCGATAGTGGCGTGTCTTTATGACAAAAGAAACTATTTAAAAATTATATTTAAAAGTTATATTTTATTTAAAATATTTTAAAAATATTTAACATTAAACCTTTTTGGTGGCTCGCAAGTATGGCAACAAACACCAAGTTGCTGGTCTATAATGGCCGAAATGTACGCAAAACAACAATACTAATTTCTCTATCGTCAAACATATCATGTGCGTGAAGATAGCGTCGACGATAAGTCCAAAATGGAATTGGAACATTTTTCGCCGCATGAAAAATGCAGTATAGTTTAATTAAGGAAAAATTTATTATTTTATTAAATTTAATGCAGCAAAAGGCATTATTAAGTAGAAAATTGAATTAATTTACTATCTACATTCAACTTTTATGTGTAAATGATGTAATTTGTATGAAAAATGAAAAATAAAAATCAGCCCCAAAAGATGGGGTCACTAATTTATTAATAACTTTTAAACTAGAGGTACCATTTTTTTCTTTTATGGCTCATTCGAAAGAGGATAAAATTACCTTTCATATAATGCAAAATTTTGTATAGGTTGTTTGATTAACTTAGGAGCAGTGCTGCGATGAAGATAGAGATGTCATTTTCAAACATTATTTAATTAAAACTTTGTTACTTAACCAAAAAATATGAACTAAAAAGGATATAACAATAAAAAATATGTTTGTTTTTCTAAATATAATCGCTTTTTACATAATATAGAAAAAATAAGAAAAATAAGAAAAAATAAGGAAAATAAAATTTTGTAAAAATAGGTCGCTTTACAAAATTAATTATATCTTTAAAAGCAGAGATACCATTTTTCTGCAAATTAGCTTAATCGAAAGAGGATACTTCAAACTTTCATTTAATGTATTCATATTCATAGATTGGTCGATTAACTTAAAAGTTATTGAGTGTCAAAGTTCAGAAATTAATTTTCCTTTATAAACGACATTTTTCTTATAAAAAGCGTATCCCAGAAGTCAGAAAACAGTTTATATATAAATAACTTTCAATACAATACTCTAATAAGCACAATTATTTAAAAAAATCGAAATTAGTTTAATTATATTAATGATTCAAAAATTTTGTGTAAAGTTGGTTAATAGATGGCATACTATCTTAAGTTAAATTCGCTGAATAATTAAAATGGCACTGAAAAACATAATGTACAGTTGCAGAGTTATTGGTAAGTTCATAGAATTACAAAAGAATAGCTATCGTCGAATTTTTTTTAAGCTTGATGCATCAAAGATATTATCAAAATAAGAAACTAGAATTTTTTCTAAAACGATTGATATACAATATTATATATCTTATTCGATTAACAAATTATATATAATTAAATTAAATGTGCACTAACTTGGGTGTGCAAAACAGTTGTAATGGCATTGACGATAAATGTGGGACATGAAATATCTAAATAGTTAGCGTTGAATTTTTATTAAGATTACTGCATCCAACATATTATTTGAATAAAAAATCAGAATTTCTTCTAAGACGATTAATGTATAATAATATATATATGGTTTAATTAACAAATTAAATAAAATTAATTTAATTATGTGCTAACTTGTGGATGCAAAACAGTTTAAATTGCATTGATGATAAATTTGGGAAATGTAATGTCAAAATATAGTTAGCGTCGAATCTTTATTAAGACGTCCTTTCAATTTTAAATTAGTTAAGACATTATTATTTAAATAAAAATTATGAAATAAAAGACAGATAACAGTAAAAATATGTTTGGTTTTCTAAATATACTTAGTTTCTATATAGTATATTCAAATTCTAAACTATTAATTTATTAATTTCCTTCAGTTGTAGTTTGCTCGTCTTCCTTTATTACGTCGCTCAGAACGTCTTAACCCCAGAGGTTCATTCTCAGTATCCACACCTTGCTCTGTGTCACAGTCGTTTTGCTGTATCAACAACCTCAGTATTTGAAACTAACTTATAAATTTAGGTCTTCATTTAAATACGTATGGACCCTAGGATTAAAAGTTACAGTTTTTCCTTTATATTTTTTCATTTGGTTGATTTGCGCAACCCTGAATATACCATTTATGGATATCAAATATCTAATTCGACTTAGTTTTTTTAACCACTTTTACATGAACCCATTTAATATAATTATTTGCAATATTTTTGTACAATACCGTTTCATTGAATTTAAAGTTTATAAGTTTACTATAATTCAGCTTTTCATTTTCAAACTTACTCAATGCTTTATCTTCTCCTCCATTTTGAAACTTACCAATTTCCAATTTATTTGTATTTTCCTTTTTTCTAAAATTTTTCTTAATTTTTGGATTTATATTATCTAACAGAGTTTTTGGTTTAAATTTCAAAATTATATCTCCTGGTGACATCCTTGTTGTCGTTGTTGGAGTAGTACGATAGCTCAAAAGAAAATTATTTATTTTAAAATCCCAAGATTTACATTTAATTTTAGGATCCAACAAATACTTTCTTAATGCGTTTTTTACAGTTTGTACTCCTCTTTCTGCAGTGCCATTCGATTCGATTGCGGATGTTATGGTGGCGATTTTAAACATTTGATATTATTATTAATGCAAAATTCTATAAACGCCTTTGAACTAAATGGTGGACCATTGTCCGTCACAATTTTCTTCGGAAGCCCGAAAATTGCAAAAGTAGATCTTAACGCTTCAGTTTTGCGCAAAATTTTAGCTTCAAGCCATTTCGAATAAGTGTCAACAATTACTAAGATATTCAAATTTTGAAATTTACAAAAATCAACGTGAATACGCTCAGACGGAGCACTTGTTACTTCCCAGTTGGTAAAAGTTTGTTTAGACGGTTTTTGATTCATACAACATGCTTCACATGTCCCGATGAACTCCTCAATTGCAGCATCTATACCCGGCCACCAAACATATGTCCTAGCAACAGCTTTCATGCGGACGATTCCGATATGACCACTATGTAACAATTCTAATGTGTTCGGTCTCAATGACTCTGGAATTACAATCCTTTCACCATAAAAAACACACTTATCTTCACTTGCTAACGATATTCGAATTTTAAAAGTATTTTTTTAAGTTATTATCAATTTTTTCTGGCCACCCATTCTTAACATATTTGTACATATTTGTATATTTGTTTTTAATAGAGTCACATATTTCGACATTTCATTTTTGATGTCCACAAACTTAATTGGAAGGTCGCCTATAAGGTTAAAAATATTACTACTATCGTCATCTTCATTTGTATCTTCTTGCAGAGGTAAACAAGACAGCGCGTCCGCATGTCCCATTTGCGATCCCTTTTTATACTTAATTGTATGATTAACATTGATAAAAAAAACTGAATATCGCTGTAACCAGTTCGCTGCTACCGATGGTAGATCTTTTTTAATTTAAAAAATTTCCCGCAATGGCTGATGGTCACTTTCAATGGTAAACGGTAACCCAAAAATATAATTGTGGAGTTTGTTCACTGCAAAAACTATCGCTAAAGCCTCGCGATGAAGTTAAGAGTAATTCTTTTCAGCCGGAGACAACGTACTAGATACAAATTGAACTGGACGTTCTTTACCGTCAATAATATGTGACAGAACGCCTCCCAAGCCATAAGGACTTGCATCGCACGAAATAATTATCGGTTTTTGTGGATCATAATGTGTTAAAACGCCAATATTCGCAATAAGTTGTTTTGATTTTTCGAATATATTTTGATGTTTTTCATTCCATATCCACTTCTGCCGATAAATTAGGTATTGAATGATTATAATAATTAACCATACCCAAATACGATTTTAGTTCTGATTTTTTTGTAGGCGCTGGGGCATCTAAAACTGCTTTGACTTTTTCTCTTGATGCCAATATTCCATTTTGATAAATAACGTAACCTAAATACGTTAATTCGTTGGGATTTTTCATAATTAATATTTACGTTTGCCTCTAATAGTCTGTCTAAATTTA